TTCAAGGCTATTACTCTACCGCTTGAGCTACAGCTCTACTTCTAGCGCTTTTTTTGTTTTGGTAATTAATTGGAGATAAGAGTCTCACCGACTTAATTGCCTGGGCTTGAAAATAACCATAATCCTTACTAGAAGAGATTGCAGACAAGAGTCACTGGCACTCAGCTGCATTGCTTTTTAAAGAAAATTTTATTGTAAAGATTCTGTACCTAGGGATTACAGTTACATGAATAAAGTAATGAGCACATTTCTTGTCTAGCATTGTTACCCCCTCCTTTGTTTTTTCCTACTATCCCTTCCGTCCCCCACTTCCCCGTCCCCACCTCCCCCGCCCCCCAGCCCGAAGTTGTAAAGATCATTTCCAACCTAGTGTCTTGTGAGTGACATTGTAGCAATGGTTCATCCTTCCCTTCCCAAGTTAGATAAATGTATATACAAGATTCAGGGTACCAAAATCAAGTGCAGTGATAACAAGGGATATACTATAGGGGGAAGAACATACAAAAGAAACAAAATTTGTATAGTACATTAAAAACAACAATAACAAAGAAAAACCTCTTTTGTCCATAGGTTGGATTCATTTTGCTTAGCATCATCTTACATTGCACTGCTTTTTTTATTTTTTCTTTTCTTGTCCGTCGTGGGGCCTGAACTCTGGGCCTGGGCACTGTCCCTGAGCTTTTCAGCTCAAGGCTAGTGCTCTACCACTAGAGCCACAGCACCACTTCCAGCTTTTTCTGCTTGTATGGTGCTGAGTAATTGAACCCAGGGCCTCAGGCATGCAACGCAACACTCTACCTCTGAGCCACCTTCCCAGCCCCTGCACTGCTTACTTTTAAGATATAGTTTTGTTTTTGCTTGGGACCATGCCTCTTATTTGAGATTCAACATAGTAGCTGTGATGACAGATATGACCACCACACTCAACTTCTTACATTTAGATATTACCTCGTGAACTTTTTAGCCTACCATTGCCTGGGAATACAATCATCTTGATCTCAGACTCTTGTATAACTAGGATAACAGGTGTGTCTTCACACTCAGCTACCCGTTGAGAATTGGTCTCTTGTATATGCCCAGGCCAGTCTCAAACCACAATCCTATCAATCTCAGCATTCACTTAGTTATGATCACACACAAGAGGCACCATTCCTGATTGCCTTTATTTTAGTTCATTAGAAAAAGGGACGTTCCCACCCCAAATCATGGTCTTGATAGCTCCCAGTTCTTACCTATGTTAGCTTTTACTTGGAAATGATTCCACTGTTATTTAGGTTGGTGCTTCTTGTTCTGATTGGTTAGTTTTGCTTGCTTGGATAATCTTGTTTTCCTTATGCTTCCTTAATTTTTCTACCTTTGTTTAAGTCTCCCACCTTCAATTATCTCACTTATTCCCTTCTGGCCTATAGAACCTCTGTAGGGATCCTCTCTGAACCCTAATCTTTCCACTGCCATCTGGAATATGCTTCTTTCTATTTATGAGTACTTCATAAACCCAGTGCTCTCTGGATGCAGTCACTATTTCCTAGGTGCTGTTTACAAAGACATGAGAATAAATGTTTAAAAATAAGTTCTGCAAAACCAACCTTGGTTCTTAGCATTTTCCAGTTTCCATTTTGTAAATAATTCTTGGAGCAGCTAAGTTGATATTGATGGCACAGTTGGTAAGAGATGTGTATGACCCATATTCCCCACCATTCCAGAGACTCCATTGGACCACAATTAGAACCAAACAATGAGAGTTCTAAAATATGTTCATGACTTAATAAAATGACATGAGCATCATTTACTTTTATCTAAGGACTCATTAATATCATGCTCTACTATTGAAACTGTGATATTCTTTGGAACTGGAGGCGTGGCTTAGTGGTACAGCAGCAACTATAAGCAAGAGCACAAAACTCTTGAGTTCAGACTCCAGTACCAACATACACACACACACACACACACACACACACAAGAATGTTGTGTCTCTAGATTTTATGACTTTCGGAGTGGAATGTTTTTAGGTCACCTAAGTGACTAAACACATTAAAATAGCAATTAGATAGACAATTATATTTTATTTTATTTCATTTCATTTCATTTTTGGTACCAGTTCTAGGGTTTAAACTCAGGGGCTGGGCACTGTTCCTGAGCTTCTTTTGCTCAAGACTAGCACTTTACCACTTGAACCACAGCACCACTACTATCTTTTCCTAAGTAGTTTGTTGGAGATAAGAGTCTCACAACCTTTCCTGCCTGGGCTGACTTTGAACCTCAGTCAAAGGCTGAGCTACTCAGCCTCCTGAGTAGCTAAGAGTACAGGAGTGAGCCACCAGTTTCTAGTTTGACATTTTCTTTTTGAAGGTGCTTTATAAGTTGTTGCTAATGTTTTGAATGAAATTAGTGCTCAAAACTCATTTGTATAGTTGTTGCAGTTGTCCTCTGCATTAGATAGACCTTTGATAGACCTCCACTCCTTCTCCCATCCCTACTCTTTAGACAAAATTTTCTCTGTATCTTGAGATGATCTGAAACTCACTATCCTCCAGCTTCAGCTTCCTGCATGCTGGGATTACAGGTGTGCACCACCACACCTGCTCTCTCACTACTTTTGGTAGTGTTCTACTTGTGCTTTTGTCCCAGAATATCTTGTAAAATAATACAGATGGGGGATTTCTAATAACCAGCAATGATACATTTTTTTCCATGTGATCGAAAGGAACACTGTGTTATCTTCTGATAGAAGAGGAAATAGTTTGGGGTGTGTTTTTCTGTTTGAAAAGTTCACTTTAATTATTTTTGTGATGCATGACAGCTTTAAAATAGGGTTACATTTTGAAAATGAATTGCCTGTGGCTATACTTCAAGGCTGCTTTTTCCTCAGCCCATCAGTCCTGTTTGGACATGAAAAAGGTGTATATTTATGTCAGTGATGGGCCAATAAATAAAATGTATTTTTCAGGAAAAAGTTCCTGGAAACTAATTAGAGTCAGAAGCAGAGACAGATAAGAGATTGAAAACACTATGCTCTGGTTATTTTGTGCTCTAGCATGTCTGTGCATCTATGGATGCAGGAGATAGTGACAAATCATCATGATCAGGAAATCCCTGTGAAGCAGATGTAGATCCACTGTGATTGTCTTTAGACATTAGCTCTTTCTCTTTCCCACCACAGCTTGCCGAAGGCAAATCTTAACCAAAGTAAATTCCACTTCGCGGATGGAGGATATTTCTTTCTGTCTGAGGAAATTAAAGCAATTCAGCTATACACCTGCTGCATAAGTAGGAAAATACCTAGGGTGCCATTTTCATTTTAAAGCAACCATTTCTAGTGTCATCAGTATGGCTAATCACAAATATTGTTTTGGAAGAATTACTGTTTTATCAAAGGAAACCTAGAAAAATGCCTGAAATTTGTGATTACTGTCCAAAAGCAGCCGGTGGAATTGTAAAAGTTTTAGATAATGGCCCTGTTAGTATTCATTAGACTATCTAAAGCTCATCTGTTTAATCATAAATAGTTTGCAAATAGTTTAATATCGTGAAATTAAAATGTAATTAAATGAATGCAAACATAATAAATAATAGCATGTCTAAATTATTATAGCTCCATCATTTTTATTTGAGTATTCAGGTTTTACGTAATCTGAGTAAAATATAATTGAAAGTGACTCTTTTTGGTGCCAGGACTGGTGTTAGAACTCATGGCATTGTGTTCTCACTCACGTGGCTTTTTCACCCAAGGTTGGATGAAAACCAGTTCCAGGTTTTGCTAGTGAACTAGAGATAAGAGTACCAGGACTTTCCGGCTCAAACTAGCTTCGAACCTGATTCTTATATTTTAGCCTCCGAAGTGCCTAGAATTACAGGTGTGAGCCATTGACACAAAGGGACTATTGAACTCCACTTTTGTATCAGAGTCTTAAATGTAGAAAAAGTAATCTTCATATTGAAAAAGTATTTACATATTACCACTACTGCAAGTCTAGTGAAAGGAAAAGAAATACCAAATAGGTTCTATTTATTGTTTTAGTTTTATTTTTAGTTTTCCAGTACTGTGACATTATAGACCTAAGAAAATCAATTTGGCTCATGGTAACCAAGGTTTAAGTCCTTGGTCATCTGACTCCATTGTTTCTGGGCCTCTGGGAAGGTAGAACAGTCCTGGGATATGGGAGAGGGGAGAGTGTGTAGGGGAGCAAAGCTGCTCACTTTATAGTGTCCAGGAAACAACAAAGAAAAGAAAGAGACAGGGACACAATGGATCCTTCAAGGAAATGCCCCCAATGACTTACTTCCTCCATCCATGCCTCACCACCTCTCATTCATAGCCCTTAAACTATGAATCCATCCGTGGATTAAATTGTTGAGGAGGGTAAACCCAATCATATTCCAAGGCCCTGCCTCTGAACTCTGGCGTATGGGGACCAAGCCTTCTACATATGTGAGTTTGGGTATTCATTTCAGATTCAAATCATAACAGTCAATATATACTTCAAAAAGAAGGCAAAGATTATTCATTTCCCCCCCAAATCATATCAGTTGTTACACTGAAAGTTTTAATTTACTAGTTATTATTCTAGTTATGTAATTATTATTCTAGTTATGTATTAAGCTAATGATTTTATTAAAATAATGGCAAATTTGGGTCATATATACCTGATTTTCTACTAGAGGATATAATGTAAGGACTATATCTAACTTTTGAGATAAGTTTAAGATCATTGAAGTCACAATATTCAAAGTTTGTTTTCTAATAAAAGCTGAATAAAAGTAAATAACATAGATACCAAAATTACAGTGATAAGGGCTTGGGAAACTATTCTTCAGTACTTGTTTAGGTATGCAGCCCTAGATTTGATTTCCAGCACCACAAAAAACAAGACGTTATCAATAATAATGTTCATAATTATGTCTGAAATTGACTATCTAGATTTTTTCAGCTGAAAAACAGTGATTAAAATGGCATAGTGATGCTCAGATTTCCTGCTAATGAACTCATTGTTTCATTGCAGCTCTCAGCATTCGAGAGGCAGATCTTTGACTTCCTTGGCTTCCAGTGGGCTCCTATTCTTGGAAATTTCCTACATATCATAGTAGTCATTTTGGGTTTATTTGGAACCATTCAGTACAGACCTCGATACATCATGGTGGTAAGTTTTAATTTTCTCATGTCTCTTGATATAAAAACTACAATATTTCTTTAAGGTAAAGAAACTAATTTTAGTGTTACTCTCCAATATGAGGTGGTATTACTGCTCTAACCTTCAAATACCTCAATTCTGGTAAGAAATGTTCATCTGTAGGCCAGACAGCACAATGACTGCTTTGCATGAGATCAAAGCAGCATGGTCTTAAGTGTGAGATGGCATAGTGCGACTCAGCGCAACTGTTTTGGTTTCACATGGAAACTCAATGTAGGGTTTGAATACACGGGAGGTATGGTTATGATGCTATGCAGTGTATATTAACAACGTCTGTTTTACTAACTTATTATTAGCCTTTAATAACATTCTCAGCAACTCTAGAAAACAAATCACTGAAATTAGAGATACATAATTTAAAATCAGGACATCACAAATACACGTATTGAGAGATAGCTACTGATTTACTGATATACCATTCATACATTTTATAGTTTATTATTTAATGTTTCTCTTTTCTGTCAGGGTAAATCTGAAATATGGTCCCTCCTCCAAACTATACTAAACATGGTCAGTCCTCTTTCTATCCTACGATAATTTAAGACATGCAATCGTGTCACCCACAATCTAATAGAAATTATTCATAGTAATTGGTTTTATTTTTTCTTTTTAAAAAGGGGTAGCATTTTAAGTTACCTGTGTTAGAAGGTTGTAGATATTAAGCAGTAATAATACAAGTAATTACAAATAGTATTAATGTATTATAAAAGCCTCAGTATGCCTGAATAAATAGACATTGTTTAGTAGAATTTTGAAATACAGCAACATTAGCACACTAGAAAAAAACATGCCTTCAAAATGTGCCATCTTTCCACTTTCATGTTGTCCAATCTGTTGAAGAAAAGTTAAATTACACAATTCCTGGAAAGTGTATTAGCTCTCTACTTCAAACCTCAAAATTGGCCTTCTGATGTTTCTCATCGTAGAGTGGAGGTGACTGTAACTGGTCAACAGCCTGATTCCATGTGGCCTCAGGAATGTTTAATGTCAATTTCTGCTTTACTCTCATTCTCTTAAAAAAAAAACCTACTGAGCCTCTGTATAAATTGTTAAAAGGCATTGGACTTGCTGTGTTAAAGATTTCAGTATCACACACAATATCAAATTTCTATGGATTCTAAATACTAGTATAGTACCTATCACTGACATTTATTTTATTTCAGACTCTTGTTAGACTACTAAGACTCAAAATTCCACATGTCTACCAAAATAATGACTTCCATGGATAATACTGGAGATAGCTATTGGACACATTATCTGGTCCTGTTGCTTTTACTCTTGAAGTATTGTTCTCCTACACACTATTACATAACTACTCCCTTGGCTGAGACTTCTGCCTTCTTTCTGCTATATATAGATTTTCTACTTACTTCTTTTTCTCTTCTGAATGGTCCTTTGCATTTTTATAAACTATGGCTTAACATCCTTCCTTGGATCCTTAGTAGCAAGCAATCAGAAGAGTTTTGTCTGATGCATGTGACCAAATTCATATTCTAAAAACCTTTTTTTTCCTTTTCTCCTTCCTGCCTTTCTGCTTTATTTTCTCCATCCCTCATTCTGTTCCTTATTCCCTTTCCCCTCTTCTAATTTTCATCTTATTCTTTTTTTTGTCTGAATTTAAAATATAGTAACTTATTTTCTACTGAATGTCCAGCATTGTATTAGGTATGAGGTACGTGACATCTGTGATTAGTGGTAGAAAAGAAGGAATACAGGGTGTAATGAGATAGCTAGTGATGGTTCATTGGGGAAAAGTGCTCTGTGGAAGTGCTGGGAGCTGAGATACGCAATGTGATTGAGTGTGAGTTCACAGGGAAGAAGGGATAAAGGAGGTTCTGAACAGGAAGCATCACAGAATACATAAGAGGAGCTCTTAAGCATTCACTGAGTACTGTACTATACTTGAGCTTGATAACTAGCACAAAATGCAAATTACAGAACCCTTGCTCTCCAGAAACCCCTTAGGTAAGAGAGAGGAAACAGGATCGTGATCCAGAATTCTCTACATGTGGTTGATGACTGGAAAAATGGAAAGATAATGGAGGTCTGGAAAGTGTGTGAGCCTGATGTAGAAACTATTAAGGATGAATAGATCATGTACATAGGCTCCTGGTGATCTCTACTTGTCTTTCCTCTCTAGCCTCTAGCTCTCATTGCCTTGTCTAGTTTCTTTGCCCCAGCTGTAACATTTTTCAGTCTATTTTAATGATTAATCACCATCCTCCTTAGTCTTTGTGCCATGATCATGTTTCATAATTTGTTTACCTTTAAGTCTTCACAACTAGGCAAAGAGCCATGGAGAACATGGAAGGTTTTGTGTGCTCTGTATATATTTATTCATTGTTTGCCCATCTCTTTCTTTTTGGGTTCACATGATTGAGTTGTCAAGTATCTCTCTCTTTCCTCCCTCTCTGCCTCTCTGCAGAAAAGTGCTTTGTAGATTCCAGAATCCTCAAAGAAAACCAGCTTAAAGAAAGAAATTCATATCTTTGCTCATCTAATTGTCTGTTTTATTGCATTGCCAACTAAATCTCTGTGATTTTGTTTGCTTTCTTACTAATTCTGTCCCAAGAAGGAAGGAGAAAGAAAGCAGTGAATTATTAGGACAGCTCTCCAGCACAGTTCTCTCTCTCTCTCTTTCTCTCTCTCATTTGGTTTAATCTATCTTCCCAAATACCTAATGAGGTTTGTATTAGTATCCCTGATTTTATAAACAAGGAAAGAGGTTAAACAATCATAGGGAGCAGGGAAAGTGGATTCATTGGCTTCACTTCACTTGTCTTATTAGAAGTTGCTTTAGAGCAATCTGATTTCCTTCCCTTGCCATATTTCAAATCACCTGTTGCAATGGCCATTATAGGTTGTGACATTAGGAATTTTCTTGCCTTGCTTCTGTAGTCAATCTCAAAATAGGATTACCTACAAAATAGGATTACCTAGTCCAGGTTATCTCTTGGTCTCCCATTGCTACAATATTGTTGAAAGAACCAGAAATCCACAAGCATCACAAGTGTGTTTGCAAAGGATTTTTTCATGAGAAACACATGTTGCTATGGAGGAACGTGGCCACACTATATTTGTTAGCTTGTTTTATTTTATTTTGTCATACCAAGGCAGCTGTCATTAATCTATTTCACAGAAAATTTTGATTAGACACTAACTGGTATGCTGGATTTGATTCTCATATAAAAAAAAAAATGAAGCCGGGTCCTATGGCTCACGCCTGTAATCCTAGCTACTCAGGCGGCTGAGACCTGAGGATCATGGTTCAAAGCCAGCCTGGGCAGGAAAGTCCGTGAGACTCTGATCTCCAATAAACCACTAGAAAACCGGAAGTGGCACTGTGGCTTAAGAGGTAGAGCGCTCACCTTGAGCTGAAGAGCATAGAGACAGTGCTCAGGCCCAGAGTTCAAGCCCCATGACCAACAAAAAAATAAAATAAAGATGACTGAAAATTAATGTGGCCTACATAGGCAAACCAAGGTGTTTTTTCAAAGACATCAACTTTTTAATGACAGTGAGAGGAAGCCTGGATCAGAAATCCAAACTGACTTTTCCCTGGACAGGAAATGAGCATGGATGGCAGATTTTCTTTCAACTCCACTTCTAGTCTTCTTAGTATCGCCCTGCTTCATTGACTGGAATAATCACAAATACATGCTGGTTAAACTTAATCCACCTCTAACCAATAGATATTTAGGAGCACCAGGTATGTATTAAATGACCACTTTGAGATTAATAAAACATAATGTCTGTCATTGCTACACTTTAATGGAACTCGGAATCTGGTTTTGCAAAAACACAGATGGTCAGTCACAGCCATTTGTGACAACAAACAGATTTTGCCACACTTCAGTTAAAGAATTAATCATCCTTATGAAAATACTTTAGGTAAAGAACCAAGCAGAACAAGCTCTCCAGTGTCTACAGGCAAATCTCCAAAGTCCATAGAGGGGAAGTCATATCCAAGCCTTGCTCCTTGGCTTACTTCTTCTGTGTCTCCTGTGTTCCTACTTGCTGATCTCCCACCAACCACACCAAAGGAGCCACACATTCCAATAACGACACACATTTACATATAGTGGACCCTCTGTATGCAATGTCTTAGCTACCCACCCAATGAGGACTAAATGTCTTATCGTCTCTGCTGCCACCGATCCTGTTATCCCCTCTTACCCCCTCCTCTTATCCTGCCTCCATCTCCATCTCACTGTGCTCAGCAGTGTGATCCTGAAGGCAGGAAGGACTGAGTTCATTTGCCTCAGCATCTAAGTCTATTTTGGTTAGGACAGATAGTTAAACAATCTGAACACTTGATTGTGAATGAATAAATAAGTTTAAGGTTATTGGGTGAAATGACTTCAAAAACACACGGACTAGAGTATGGTTTGATAGAATATGTCAGCCATAGTTCAGCAAAAGAAAGTCCTGACTATTCTGCCTTGATTACTTCAATCAGCACTCAGTTAAAGAATTACATGACAAAGCAATATAGGCTGTACTACCTGCACCTACTGTTAGCTGATGTATTCCCCAAACCCTATGGCTTCTAAACTCAGTAATATTGTGGGATGCTGCTGCACCACAGACAAAATTTAGAAGAGTCCCCCCCTAATTATAAAGTGAAATGACAATAATTCTATTCATATGCACCATTGCCAAAAAAGAGCATATAATTTTGGGATTTGCCATATATTTTTGCCTCTAGTGATTAAAATTTATTTTTGGCCAGGCACCAGTGGCTTATCCTGTAATCTTAGCTACTCAGGAGGCTGAGATCTGGGGATGGAGATTCAAAGCCAGCCCGAGCAGGAAAATCCTTGAGACTATTCTCTCCAATTAACTAACAGAAAACCAGAAGTGGTGCTGTGGCTCAAGAGGTGGACCACTAGCCTTGAGCTGAAGAGCTCAGGGACAGTGCCCAGGCCTCATGACCAACAAAAAATATT